GGGACATTCCTGGGAATCAGCACAGAAAACAAACAGGAATCTGCACCGGGATGGGGGCGACATTCCCAGGAATCTGCAATGGGGAAAACTGGGAATCGGCACCRGGAACAACTGGGAATCTGCAYCGGGGAATGGTGTGGGRGGACATTCCCAGGAATCTGCACCGGGGACATTCCAGGGAATTGGCAATGGGATGGGAAAGGGACATTCCCAGGAATCGGCACTGGGGAGATTCCAGGGAATCTGTACCAGGGAGATTCCCTGGAATCTGCACTGGGAAAAACTGGGAATCTGCACGGGGGACAACTGGGAATCTGCAGCTGAGGGGACATTCCCGGGAATCTGCACCAGGGACAAACGGGAATCTGCAATGGGGAAAACTGGGAATCGGCACCGGGGAATGGTGTGCGGGACATTCCTGGGAATCTGCACAGAAAACAAACGGGAATCTGCACCGGGATGGGGGCGACATTCCCGGGAATCTGCACTGGGATGGGGGCGACATTCCCGGGAATCTGCACCAGGGACAACCAGGAATGTGGGGCAGGGGACATTCCCAGGAATCTGCATGAGGGACAACGGGGAATCTGCATCGGGGACATTCCTGGGAATCGGCACCGGGGAAAACTGGGAATCGGCAGCCAGGGGTGACATTCCCAGGAATCTGCACCAGGAGGGGACATTCCTAGGAATCTGCACTGGGGACAAACAGGAATCTGCACTGGGGACATTCCCGGGAATTGGCACCGGGGAAAACTGGGAATCGGCAGCCAGGAGTGACATTCCCAGGAATCTGCACTGGGGACATTCCAGGGAATCTGCACTGGGGGATATTCCTGGGAATCTGCACTGGGGGATATTCCTGGGAATCTGCACTGGGGGATATTCCTGGGAATCTGCAGCGGGGACAACTGGGAATCTGCACTGGGGTGGGAGGGGACATCCCCAGGAATCTGGGGCCGTGGGGGTGACATTCCCAGGAATCTGCACTGGGGACATTCCCGGGAATCTGCACCGGTGACATTCCCGGGAATGTGGGAGCAGGGACAGCAGGGACAGCAGGGACAGCAGGACTCAGTAATGCCCACGAGGTTTTGGAATGAGGGTCAGGAGGGGTTTGGTTTTTCCAGGAGAAAAGCCGGGAAGCTGAGGGGGCGGGAGGGAACTTTTCCAGTTGGGATCGGGGCAGTGGTGAATGGGGAATGGCTCCCACATTCCAGGAGGGATTCATTTCACAGCCTGTGCCACGGGAATCACTGGGATCAGGGAATTGGGATTGGGATAAAGGGGATCACTGGGATCAAGGGTATCACTGGGATTGGGGTAAAGGGGATCACTGAGATCAGGGAATTGGGGTAAAGGGGATCACTAGGATAAAGGGAATTGGGGTAAAGGGGATCACTGGGATCAGGGAATTGGGATTGGGGTAAAGGGGATCACTGGGATCAGGGAATTGGGATTGGGGTAAAGGGGATCACTGGGATCAGGGAATTGGGATTGGGATAAAGGGGATCACTGGGATAAAGGGAATTGGGGTAAAGGGGATCACTGGGATCAGGGAAATCAGCACTGGGATCACTGAAATCAGCACTGGGATCAGGGAATCACTGGGATTCCAGACTGGGTCCAAAGGGGAGGTGCAGGAGGGACAGGGGGATGGAGGAACGGGGACAAGGAGAGGGACAGGGATAGAGAGATAAGGACAGGGAATGGAGGGACAGGGACGGGATGGAGGGACAGAGAAAGGGACAGGGGATGGAGGGACAGGGGACAGGGGAATGGAGGGACAGGGACAGGGGATGGAGGGACAGGGACAGGGATAGAGGGACAGGGACAGGGGATGGAGGGACAGGGACAGGGGATGGAGGGACAGAGACAGGAGCCAGGGACATGGGTCAGGGGATGGAGGGACAGGGATGGGGATAGAGAGATAAGGACAAGGAACAGAAGGACAGGGACGGGGACATGGAGGAACAGGGGATGGAGGGACAGGGATGGGGACAGGGCACAGCAGGACCAGGGACAGGGACAGGGGATGGAGGGACAGGGGATGGGGACAGGGCACAGCAGGGCACAGCAATCACAGCCCCTCAGCCGCAGCGCCAGGGCTCGGGGACATTTGCCACCCTGGCGGCCTCACTGAGGCCGAAACGTCCGAGTTCCTCAGAACCGTGGGGAGCCAGGGCCGGGCCAGGCCAGGCCGGGTCCCCTCTCTGGGGACACTGCAGCGGGCACGGGGCGGGCCCTGCTCCGCGGGGGACGCTGCGGGGACACGCAGGGGACATTTGGGGACACTTAGGTGCCCTTGGGAGGGGTCCACTTGAGGCAGCTGGGATCCATGGTCTTGTTGCTGTTGGATCTCTTGGCYTCCTTGGCAATCCACTCGTCGATGAGGTCCTGGGAGAGGAGGGGAAACATCAGTGGGGCAGCAGCACAAAGGGGGAGGTGGCTCAATCAATAGGGCAAAATGACAGCAAAATTACCCAAAATAA